AAATCCAGATATTCTAGGTTCTTTTCCGCAGTCCAGCCAGCGTATCCCCCTCTTCTCACAGCTCCCCACTGTTTGCTGCATGATCCAGTCAGTTGAACACAATCAGGAATATCATGGGTGATAGTAGGCAACCTTGTTTCACTCCTGTCTTCACTTCAAAAGCATCAATGAGCTTCCCATTGTGAATTACTTGGCATGTGGCATCTTCATATTGTTGCTGAATGAGACTGATAAAGGTTTGCGGTACTCCGTAGTAATGAAGCAGTTTCCAAATTACTTCTCGGTCGACGCTGTCAAAGGCCTTCTCAAAGTCGACGAAGTTGAGGTGAGATGGAGGGTTGACTGCCATTCTATACTCTGTTCTATGATGATGTGTAGTGTAGCGTTGTAATTTGCTCTGCACATGATTTGTACTTCCTGAATTCAGTTAGCCTGTTCCTGTTGCAATTTTGAATCCAGTGCATCCTTTAGCCTCTCCAGGATGATGCGGCTTAGTATTTTGCTTGGGGTGGACAGGAGAGTGATTCCACACCAGTTCTTGCAAACACTGAGGTCTCTCTTCTTTGGCAGTTTGACAAGGTAACCCTTCTTCCAATCAATGGCCAGGTACCTTCTCTTCCTTCCACACCTTCTGCAATAGTGGTGTGAGCATGTCCGCTGTTGTCTCTGCGTCTGTTCTCAGTGCTTCTGGCGGGATTCCATCTGGTCCTACTGCTTTCCCACATTTCAGTAGCTTTATGGCGCTCAGGACTTCCATTTTTGTTGGAGGATTTATGTTCACTTGTAGTTCAGCGGCTGCAGGTGGCATTTATGGACGAAGTGCAGGTGGTGGTGGTGGTCGATTCAACAGCTTCTTGAAGTGGTCGGCCCATCGTTTCCTCTGTTTCTCTTCTTTCGTAATTAGATTTCCTTCTTTATCTTTTATTGGCTTCATCTGCGTTGATCTCTTCCCTGATAGCAACCTGGTTATTTGATACAATGTCGTCAGGTCTCTCTTACCTGCAGCCTGTTCTGCTTCACTTGCCAGTGTTTCGTAGAAGTGTCTTTTGTGTTTCCGTGTACTCTTCTTCACTTGTTTGTCCAGTGAGTGTTTTATACATTGTACTCAGTTCCTGTTGTCGTTGAGCATCCTTGCACTGGTTTATCTTCTGCTTCACCATCACCATCCTCCTCTCCCTGTTCTATCAGCTTCCATGTATGCATTGAGATCCACTCCTTGTCTTCTTTCTTCTTCCCTCCTAATACGGTTGTGCAGGTTTCTTTCCACATCTCTTTCAAAGACTTCCAGTGTTCTTCTACACAGGTTTCTTCAGGGATGTTGCCCGATATCTCCCATTTTGTCTTGATGGCTGGCTGCCGTGAAGATTTCTTTTGTAGTTTCATCCTTCAGTTTCCTTTCTGTGTGTTGTACTTGGAGTGCGGTGTATCACCAGCTTCCTTGAAGGCTTTTAACTTGATTTTGAAGGTAGATTCCTTGCAGTTGATAGTGCGTTGTCTGAACCTATATCTGCTCCTCCTCCTGTTGATGTTGTGTCAAGTAGGCTGATTGCGTCTCCATTTTCTTCACATTGAGATGAAGTCGATCTGATTTTTAGTGTGGTGTTTCCATCTGGTGAAATTGAATCCATGTTGCTTTGTGGATATCCTTGTGCTTGAATACACTGCCTGACTCCAATCACCGAATCGTTGAATGCACAGAATTCTGCAAACAATTCTCCATTCTCTTTCATCACCTCACCGAGCGCTTCTGGACCCATGGTTAGTTCTCTTCCTGTGTTGTCTGCTCCCAGTTTGGCATTCATGTGGCCCATTAGAATGAATTTTGATATCGCCAACTTGAGTGGTGTCTTGTTCTGTGTTGATTGAAGTTGTCTGTAGAATTGCTCCTTTTTCTCTTGCTGTGCATTATTTGTAGGTGCGTAGTGCAGTGTAGCATTGTATGATTGTGACTTTCCTTCCTTTTGAGTTGAATCTTGCTGTCATGATCCTGGAGGAGATTGGTTCTCACTGCATTAGAGCCTTCGATGCTCTTGAGGACATCATGATAGCCACTCTAAAAGTCAATGTGCTCGTGGTTGTCGTCTGGGTGACAATATAGGAGTAGATTATTGATTCTCCAGTTGACAGTTTGGAGAGTCCACTCCCATTCCATCTGCTTTCGCAAATTCCAAGCACTTCAGTGCTATACCTTCTCATCTCTTTTGCAATCTGGGCAGTCTTGTTAGGTTCAAACATAGTGCGGACATTCCATGTCCCCATGTTTACTTGCTCTTTCATCGAGGGAGAGAAGACACATCGGCCCGGACAATTGGCTTCCCGAAGGCAGGCTTTCACCAACCGGCGTCATTTTGCCTCTCCGATTCCAGCTAGGAATAAGCCTGTTTTTATTTTTTATATTTTGTTTGTGCTTTGAAGTTTCTTCAGCGGTTAGATTTGTTTTACGGTGTGGGGTTGCTAGCCCTATGCCCAACCTTCCCTCTTTACCCAGGCTTAGGACCTGCTAGTAACTAGTGAACTAGTTAACCAGGCGAGGTTGGGATGAAACTATTGTAATTAAATCCAGTCTAATCAGGTAGAGAGAGAGAGAGAGAGTGAGTGAGTGAGTGAGTGAGTGAGTGAGTGAGTGAGTGAGTGAGTGAGTGAGTGAGTGAGTGAGTGAGTGAGTGAGTGAGTGAGTGAGTGAGTGAGTGAGTGAGTGAGTGAGTGAGTGAGTGAGTGAGTGAGTCTGTTCACCGAGTCAACACCCAACATATGCAATAGAAATAACGCAACACCTATACCAGAGATGTGGAAAATTTTACTACCAATACAAAACAAATAATATCAGGTGACAGGACTATAAGAATCAGGTGTCGAAAGTTGTGATTACATTGATATGATTATTAACAATAATTTGTGCTCAAAACGTCGTCATCAGGTAAATAATACTGCATCACTGTGTGTTATAAAGCTAATAAATAAATCTTATATGAAATGATTTTCAAAAGTCTATACCTGAATCCCTTTGGATGGTGAAATGTTGGAAGTCACTGAAAAGGGCATTCATGTAAATGGTTGAGTCACCGGCGGAATGTGGTATACGATATACCTGTTCATAAACTAAAAACAAGTGTGAAATATATCACCTTTCATTGTAAGCCATTTCACTCTACATTTAAGGAGATCTAATCTCTATGGACTGAAGATACTCAGTCATCATTGAATTATTTAGCAATTCCATGTAAATACTGCTGAGATGTGGTAAAGTGTGTTTGAATACATTCTATCCACATCATCCGACAACTTCACACATCAGTCGCAGTTTTTGAGGGATTGAGGACTAACTGGATCACATACAGTTGTGATTAGTTTATGAAATGGCACTATGGGATGAAGTAGATTTGTTTTGGGCTGACATCCACTACCATATCATACACACACACACACACACACACACACACACACACCAGTTTTCATGATATCCCCTCCTACTTGTCATGAAACTACCATTCGATGCATGACGGTGATATGGAATACATCACATCCAACAGTTGTATAATAGGATAAAGCGTCGTGTTGTGTAATACATCCGTTCTTGAGTCGACAATCTGTTAGGGATGCCTAATCTCTAAGACAAACTAACTTATGTTTATATTATCAGTGTAAAATCTAAACCTTATTTTTGCGCCCTTTTAGCGCAGAGCTATGTTACTTATTTTTACCGTAGTTTAGGATACTAAACGCTGATTGGTTCATTTTACACTTTTAATGTGCTATTTTGTTTTTCCTGACCAAAGCCATCTAAGGATATATAAACGACTGAGTTTTCAGCTGTTGTTATTCAATTGAAGTAAATATACTTTCAATCCCAGCGTCTTCTTCTGGTGTCAGCTGAATATCGAGTTGAAAAGTCATTGTTCTATCGTATAGCATCGGAGGATTGTATCGTTATATATACCTTGGATCATAACATAATCGTATATCTTACTGGGTCTATGGACGGGGTAAATGAGTCAACAAAAAAAACGAGCCTTTTGTTTTCACCCTGAAATTTCGTCAATGACAACCTTACTGTGGCTGAGTGAACAAAATGAACAATTCTACGGTCAACCGTAATCGATTTCCATTGCGATTGCAGATAACAATGTAATTGAAAACATTTTTGAGGGAGTTGTGGGGATTTGGAAATATTTCAAGTTGTTATGCATCGTAGACTGACATCAGTTGAAAGAACAAAGGAAATCTCGGAGCACTGAACAGCTGTTTCGTCCTAGCATGGGATTCCTCAACAGTGCGCACCCACGACCCCACCAGCAGGGATCGAACCCACGACCTCCAGGTTCCGTGGCCAGCACGTTACCATTGAGCCGCTAAGTCAGAATTCAATGATACATATTTTTAACTTCTGTTAGCTCACGATATAGCGCAACCGCCACCCAATGTCATCGTTGAATAACTGTCCTCACAACCATCAGGCTTTGCCCCACCGGTCACGACTTTTCATTGGAACTTCGGGAATACATCTCAAAGCTAGTCATCAATGAGCACTAGTTCAATTGAATTTTTGAGGGAGTTGTTCCGCCAACTGATATTAGTCTACGATGAATAACAACTTGTAATTAAAAGAGTTAATTAATAAGAAGAAAATGAAACATATTATCAACTGAGCGTTTTTACGTTAAAGTGTATATATGCTGCACATAGACTTGCCTTTCAACACAAACTTTATTTTGTAATCTAAACATCAAGTTCGAACTGTAAACTTCTGAAACTACTATATTATTATCCTCTTCATTTACTCGTGTACAATAGTTGAATTTCATATTTTTCTTATTTATTACAAATACTCATTGGTAATCTATTGTATTAGTTGAGTCATTTCACTTGATTGGTTAACAGTACTACAATATTTATCTGAACTTAAAACTACTCAAAGATATTTAAAGGATATAGTTGAATCGAAGATGTTGGTTTTAACTAACATTGATTTAAAGTGAAAACACTGATAAAAAATAACTTACAGTTAAAATTAACCAGTTAGACACATGTTTAAGAAATGTTGGATCATGTGTACGACCACCATATTGATTCAACCAAAATTGGCGTAAACATGCAAAAAGTATAGAACATGTTGATCGTAGCTCCTTTAATTGGACTAAATGTGTACAATCAACTATTGGGCCAATTACTGCAATAGAAGAATTGAAGATATATATAACTGATGAGAAATTGACGGAGAAATACAATACAAACAGACACATGGAAGTGTATCAGTTCAAGTTGCCATATTTCACAGTAGTATACAAAAAAATAGGTGGATAGAAAAAGTGATATTAAAGTAGAAGGAAAATGAAGGTTAATGAAAATATTGAATGTTTAGAAGATGTGTCAAAATGGCCCATTTTCGGCCATTTAACCAAGAGTCCTTAATCACTGATTCCTATCATCTCATGGACTCCATCTAAATAGTATACACCTTCTTATACGCCTCAGATGAATAATCAGGGACTTTATGGACTGGTACCACATCTGTATCTGGTTATTCTAAACTCTTTTTCAACCTAATCCAACTTTCCCTAGCATTACACGTCAAGGTATGTGGGGTCTGGGCATGTGAAGTAAAAGAAAGCGACGATAGTCTTACACTTTCGACTTTGTCGAACTAATTTCATGAAAAAAAATTGTAGAGGAACCATGTAAACAGTGGATAGTTAATGTCTATTATAATCAAACGTAAAGCAATGTGATATGCCAAGTCTTAATTAGACAGTGAAGCGCATAACATGAAGATGGCTTACAGCATTTAAACAAACATCGTGTTCAAGGCCGAAGAATCCCTTAGTACGTTAGTGTAACCCAACAATGAAACGTATTTTGTGTAATCGATGATGACATTCTTAGGAAATAAATTAGTATTCGAATCTGCGACTTATTGGCCGAAGGTTGCTTAAAAAAAAAACTCCAGTTTGATCCGAAAACAGACTACAGAAACAAAGTAGAAGCTAACACATTTTTGCATCAGCCTAAACTGAACAATCAGAAAGGAGCAAGTAGGAGAAAAACTGAAAGGGTAAAATTAACCAATATCGGCAAGTTACTGGTAAAAGGTAACAGAATATTCTTTCTTTGAACAAAAAATTAGGATAAACACGAACTATTAGTCCGAACAATAGTACATACTAAAGAATCCAGGTTCGTCCAGTTTTATAACACTGTGGTAAATTTTTTGCTATTGTCTGTACTTACATTCTTATTTATCAAAAATGGATGATACAACTGTAGACCTAAATACTCTAGGTTATTTTAGGGGTATATTTACATATTATTATTTACTTCTTGACGACTTTATTTACAATCATTTCAGCTTAAAGTAATCAAAATCACTTCTCGGATATACAAATGATCAAAGAGGTAAAAGTTTGCTTCTATGAAGTAAATGATGCTGAAATGATTCAATTTTAAATCAAGTCTCCAAAATTGATGATCTATGACACTACAATACCTTGAAAATGGATTATTATTGGGCTTGTTTCTTAAACTGTTAATCTGCAGAATAACAGCTTAACATTTTGATGAACAATCGCGTCAAATTATTCCAAAGTTCTTCAATAAGTTGAAAAACAACCTAAGCGATGTTTATGGATATTGTTACTTATATTATCCCACCGTCGATTGGACCGAATTGATCAGTCTCTATTGGTATATGAGCTTCTATGAGGATGCCACGATATTGCCTGTGTTTCAATCATATATTGATGATAAGTAGTGGCTAGTAGTGGAATCCAGGAGGTGCGTTTCGTCCTATTTGAGACTCGTCAGCTGGATGCACCTGCTCCCAATGAGTGATGCTGTGTCCATTGGGACTCGAACTCAGGATCGACTATTTCAAACGCAATAGCGTTATCCATTAGACGACCGAGCCACGATAACTACTTCTTGTGCGACAGGCATAGTTTTAATGTTTTTGGAGGGAACACGCATCCTAGATTCCACTGCTAGTCACTATCCATCATGAAATTTATGGATGTTCAATGCAAATACCAAGCAAAAAGCGGCTATTGTAACCAACTGCACAATGGTGTTGCACAAGGTTAGAGAGATGAGACTTTGACATTTGGTTGGAGAGTTCAAAAACTGTATCCTTAATCTAATTTTAAAAGATCTGAGAACATTGGTTAAAAAATTGCTTGAGCACATATGCAAGGAGCGTTCTGCTTTTAAAGTTCGCATGTAGCCGAATACATTCGATGAATGTTCAAGTGTTAGAATGGCGAAAACAAGAAACAGTAGGTGTACAAGGATCACAAACCGATACTTCTAACTGTTCAGAAAAACCAGTTGATGAAATAGAATGATGATTATGAAATGAAACAACAGCATAACTCAACGAATCAGAGCATAGTTATGTACTGAGAAGTAAACCATCTCTATTGTACGAGAAATAAAGATACTACTGAGATGGTGAGACCATAGCTTATTGGTGTAGGGAGTTGACTTTCGATTAGTGGATCACGGATTTGAATCCCGCTCCGCCTACAGAGGTTTGGGAAGTCAGATAGCATCACCAACAGCCTTCACATGATAAGTGTGGCTAATTGTCTGCGGCATGAATGCCCACAAGGGTGTTGAGTGGGTTTCACTTTCGACTACTAAAATACGCAAGCATCAGTAGATAAAACTGAGTGTGAATCCGTCACTCAAGGAATGAAAGATGTGCCTACACCTTTGAACTAAAGCTTAACCAGCTGCCAAGGACTTTCAATTAGATTAGCTTTCTGCTTCTCAGTACAGCCAGGTTGTCATTTCTCATCTCTTTACCCTGTTTAACATTAAACATGATGACAGAAGAAAACTTTAACAAATAATAATTTTCACAAACTATTTATTATCTATACAATGACATCAAGTCTAACAATGTAGAATTTGAACTGCTAATGTATCACATAGTAGTGATATGAAAAACGTTTAGTGAAATGTTAAAATTTAATGATGTGCTGTATGATCAAACTGGTGGGAGAACTGTGGCATCTCTTCTGAACTTCGACTTAGTTGGCTTCATCAAAAATCTTGAGAATGGGTCCATGACAGAAGCAATCCCAGAAGATGCATGAGTGGAACCTCTTATATTCAATGAGGAATGTCCCATTGATGCGTTTATTAAATAGTCCGACGATTGTTACTTTTGTTCTGCATTCTATCTCCGAGATGTGGCGTCAGAAAAAGAGCATTGGTTCGCTACAGTGTTCGATTTATCATAAACTAAACACTCCACTAACTTCAACAACTGGATGTCTCTGAGCAGAAAAAAAACCTCATTTATTGGTCTCATATTAGGATTCAGAAGATTCGCTTGATAGACACGATTGAGGAATTTTAAGCTTTACAAATAACACTCTTAAACAGCAGATATATTAGGGGATTTTCACTGGTTAAGTCTTAAGCTCTACTGAGTCACGTTACCACAGAAGGTTTTGTCTATGAACTTTAAATTCAAAGGGAATATACCGGTTTCAATGTTAAAGAGCCGCCTGTCAAAATGCATCAAACATTCTTTATTTTCCGCCAAGTTATGATTAGTACCCTTGAACTTGTGCGTAATTTGATGATGTGTGAAGGGTAGTTTGTCTTTTATGTCCATCTCAATGTGTAACTATCAACTCACATACTCCTTTTGTGGAGTCGACTAGGCTTGTTGTATATTGCATATGGGTCCTGCGGAAAAGTGTTTTAGAATACTATGGAGCCAGGCTGTTTGTAATGTGAACGTAGGACAACATCATCCCATGAAGTCAGGTCATTCAGCCCTGCATGATTCCTTTTCACAGTAATCTATAGAGCTCAGATAAACTACTCTAAAGGCTTGGATTTCCACCACTTATGTACAGATAAAGCATTACCTATAGGTAAGAAAAAAACCACTTTCCTAACCTTATCCTAATAATGTCTATTCTCTCTGTCACCTTGTTAATTCGGTTGTTAGTATTACACTTTCTTTCAAACAGCAATGGACCCCATTTTATATCTTGAAAACAAACTCGCGTCTTTAATGACAACGTCTGTGTTTATTTCTTTACGTGACCCAAACCTCCATCTATATTTCCACCAATTTAGTTATGTGAATATTACCGGGTTAAGAGCGGTTCTAGTGCGATTAACTGTATTCTTATTGGAGAGAAACACGAACAAAAGGATTGTTAACTAAGCTGTTGAGTAGTAATAAGTTGTTGTTCTCATTCCTGAATAAATAAATTTTCTTCTTATCCCAGTAATTTCCAAGAACTTCAAGCTAAATTTGAAGCCATCATCTACTACAGATATGTTATAAACTGTGTGAACATTTCCTTAAGGATAAAGTGTGATAACTTGGCTATTCAATGTATGATTTTAGCAGTCAGTCAGTTACTAATCAGACCCAAATTAAATGGTTGTTGTCTTTCATCAGCAAGATGTATAACTGTAGCATTGAAAAAAAGTTATATTCCCTTACAAATGTGAGATTGCACCAGTCATACACTCGACTGTTAACTATTAATGCCTAAAGCAAAGCGACTCGGAAATAAATTATATGCATACGAATCATTCACTAGGTGATAACCAAAACAATATAGCTGGCAAAGTTTTAAAGTTAATGGATCATTCTTGTAACTTGGTTGTTTAAACAACATGACATTTGACCATTCGATAATCATATACAGATTGAAAACATTTTCAGTGTTATGATTATAATCTCTAGGAAAGTTATAATTAAGTGATGAAAAAAATATGGTCAAGAAAATTTAGAACATTATCATTCTTACTTAAACTCACATATTCCCGGTTGTGATGCAGTTAAATTCTCGTAGATTGAACATTGTGTTAAAATATTTGCTAAATATTCTTCAATTCGATTTCTATAAAACAAAATAAATATGAACGTAAAACATTTATTAAATAATTGAACATAGACCTTGTGAGTAATTAAGAAAAGAAACTAGAAAGTTGAAAACAATTCATATTCTCATAGATTGTAAAAGAATTTTAAAAAGACACCATTTAAAGTAATAGAAAACTATGAAAGTCTTATTTACCGTGAAAAACTGAATTTACCCAAAAATGTAACTGTAGAGTTGTGAACTAACAGTCTAAACTCTTAACAAGTAGGTCATAAGTTCAAATCAATTTCACCTACTCCAGATATATTAACCAGATGGTAATGTTACAACCAGCAATAACAAACAATTTGGAGAAAACTTATAGATGACAATAACAAATTTGAAAACACTAGATTCTCTACATACTTCATTACATATATCATTAAGTAATGCTAAGTACAGGGATATGTAACGTAGACTGACGTCGATTTGTGTGCAGTAACACAGAAGTGAACAGTATTTAAAGGTCAAACGGTAGTGGAAAAGGTGAGAGTAGATGTTCAAACTGAATAGGTTGGAGATAGATTACAATTAATTATATACAGAACAGAACAACGTCCTCAATAGTATAAAAAAGGTCAGTCTATATCACCTGGTCATTCAGAGGTGACGATATGCTAGCAGTAGTTAGGAAAAGACTAAAGAAGTCTATGAGAAGGACTTATTACACTGCCAAACTTGTGCTCCATTGCACTACCAAATGGGTATTACAGTAATCAGGGAAAGACAGGGCTACGGTTTTCAACACATCTAAATGCTTATATCAATTCGAATGTACCTGTGGAAGCAAATACATTGGTCATTCGGAGAGGCGTATATCTATTTGAATGATTGAGTCCCTACTGAAATGGCTGAAGCGTGCAGAGGAGACCTTGAGGAGCTTGATAATGAAACACCTATTGGACTACGGACATGATAATGATACCTATAAGTCTATTACAGTGGACAGCATAATAAGAAGTTGCTTACAATTGTAGAAGCCAATGAGATTTGAGTTCCCAAACCAAACCTGTGCATTCAGATAAAAATGGTTGTCAGCTTGAATCTGCTATGGTAGGAGTTACAAAGTCTTCCAATCATCTTCACTCTTCCTTACCTGCTCTTTGTCCCCTATCTTATATTTTCGTTTTCCTTTCCTAATTTGTTTCGCTGAATTAACTACATTCTTATTGCCATTTTTATCATAGTTATTCATCTCAATACACCTGGTTTTCACACTATGTCAGCTTAAGTGAGTATTAACTATCTTGTTCTTAATGACGTAATCTACCCTCAAGAGATTCAATTCTCACCCCTGTGTCAACATTATTATCACCATTTTTTTCCTACGTGAAATCCACATGACTCTTTAGACTGCACCACCATCCAAACTCATAGTTGATTATGTAACCTATCCCTAACCTATTCAAGTTGAACCTTCACTCTCACCTTTTCCATTACCATTTGACCTTTAAAATTTATTCATTTTTGTGTTGCTATATGCATATCGGTGTCTCAGTCTACGTTACATATGTTTTTAGGCATAGATTTTGTGTAGCATTGCTCAATGGTAAATATAATGAAGTATGTTGAGTATCCAGATGGCGAGTACTAATGAAATTTATGAAATCATTAAATCCTACTTTCTTTTCATATTTATTGCTCATTTTGAATGACAAATTCCTTGACATCTTTGATTTGCATTGAATCTAACAACAGACTATCATAAACACTTTATTTTCAATAAACAATGTCATACAAAGTCAATACATTCATTCAGCCTTGTAACAACACTTTTAAAGATGAGCGGTAGACAAAATCCCATAATCTAAACGGTTGCAGTGTTTGCAGTTTTTGAAATAGGTTTCTTTTTGATGATAAATAAATGACAACAAACAAATACTTACTTGTTAATGGTAAACTAGCATGCTTAAACTAAGGTATTGTACACGAATGTAAAGCTGTGGTTGGTTGGCTGGCTGAAGCAGAAGATTTTAAACTGTTGGATCACGAAGTTGAGTCTATTTCACCTCCCGAGGCTTATGCAACCAAGTAATTTACTAGTCCTAACACAATGAATGCGATTTATAACCCGGTGTACAAATTTGCAAATGGTTGTAGAATTAATGGACCCCTAATTGCCTAACACTTAGTAGGAGATTTGTCGTCAGTAATGCAGCAGTAGCTATAATTGTGTTATTTAACTAAAACTACTTATCCAATCTTAATTCATCAAAGCAGTCATATTGCGGTACACATAAATTGAAACAATATGATGTAATGCGTATTTGTTGCAGGCTAACGCAGAACACGAAAGGCGAACAAGTATTAATAGGCATTAAATAGTTCGAATTTTGTTTCATTTTTCACATGAACTAGTAAACGGTCATGAACACTCATGAGACAGTTATATTGTGACTAAGAAGAAGTAGGTCACACAACACCAACATGGTACTTGAAATTACCGCCTGAAGGTTTAAGTTGCCATACATCCTATCAGCATATCGAAGTAGAAAGTATCGAAATGAAACAAACAGAAATAAGGAAGAAAGTGATCAAATATGGTAGAACGTTATCGAGAGAGAACATGAAGGAAGGGAAAAATAGTGAAATTCGGCATAACAATTGAAGGTAAGGTATAGATGCATCCAACCTCGCCTAGTTTACCAGCCGGTCCTAATCCCGGATAAAGAGGGGAGGTTGGGGTGGGGCTAGCAACTCTACCCCATAAAACCAATCCAATCGCTAATGAAACTTCAAAGCACAGAAAAAATATATAACATAAACTTATTCCTCGCTGGAATCGAGGAGAGGAAATGACACCGGTTGGTGAAACCCTGTAAGAAGCCAACTGGCCGGAACGGGCTAGTTGGCTTCAGGAAGAATAAATCATGAGTGGATCAAATTACAACACTACGCTACGCATCATCATAGAACAGAGCATAGAATAGCAGTCAACTGGATCTTTGCCTCAACTTCATCGACTTTGAAAGGGGCTTCGACAACGTCGATCGAGAAGTAATTCTGCAGCTGCTTAAACACCACAGTTTTAGTGCCACAAACCTTTATCAAACTCATTCAACATCTATATGACGACATTACATGCCAAGTGGTTTACAATGGAAAGTGAAGTGATTCATTTGAAGCGAAGTGAGGACAGGAGCAAGATAAGGTTGCCGCCTACTATCACCGATAATCTTCCTGAATGTGGTCGACTCGACTGGAGGGGACTGGATCATGCAAGACATTGTGAGGAGAGAGAAGAGGTGCATACACTGGCTGGACCGATGAAAAGACTCCAGAAGAAGATTTGGATTTCGCCAACAATTTGTGTCTTATATCGCACAAACTCGAAGACCTATAGGCAAAAAATCAACAAGTTGACAGAGGAGGCAGGGCAGCGAACACGGGACTTCCCTCAGGTGAACGTAGAGAAGACAGGTGACGAAGATACCTAACCAACAACAACAACAACAAGCACTAATCACCATCAACGGGAGAAATTTAGACGAAGTTGTCTCTTTCACCTACACTTACTTAGGAAGTATCGTTTCAACTACAGGCGGCAGCATAGATGAGGACGTCACAGCCAGAATTGGAAAGATAGAAAGACAGGCCTTCCTGGATTAACCTGAAGTCGGTGTGGAATCAGTGCACTGCACTCAGCATAAAGTGTGAACAAGATCCGGACTTTCAACACTAAGTCAGTCAAGTCAGTGCTTCTATATGATCGTTCAGAGGCCTAGCGAGTTACGAAAAGCATTTTCAACAAACTACGGACGTACGTCACATGAACAGCTGCCGCCTACACTCGCTCGATACTGAAGATCGGTCAGATGGCCAGGCAAATAAGGATGAGCAAGAAGGAACTCTGGTTGGCTGGCTGGCTGGCTGGCTGGCTGGCTGGCTGGCTGGCTGGCTGGCAACGAACCAACCAACTAAGAAGCTATCGCCCAACTAATATGTAGAAGAAAGTGGAGATGGATTGGATTGGACATATACTGAGAAGACCATTTGGGGACATCATGCGCCAGACCCTCGAGTGGAAGCCAAATGGAAAAAAAACAAGTTGGGCATCCGAGGAGAGGGTGACATAGAGGAGACCATGTGAGGAAGAAATGAAAGGTAATGGGCAGTCGTGGAGCCAGGTTGAAAAGACTGTAAAGAACAGAGTGAAATGGTGACGTGCTACTGAAGCCGTATGTTCTACTAGGAACCCATGGGACAAATAATAATGATAACAATAGATGCATCCGCACCACCAAGATCAATTCCGAGCCATATCACCTATGTTCTCGAACCAACAATTTCGGTTGTCACGTGAAGCCCAACCAGGAAGCCAGCATTTCCCTACAAGGATCAGATCAATAGTCAACGAATTTATGGGGTGATGCTGTTTCAGTTTGGCCGTCTCCGACCTTTATCCAACCAGAACCTACTTCAGTTAACTTGTATCATCCTTATGTCGGGATAAGAATGATGTGAACACTTGCTTTGCTTTTGGCTACTAAATATCTGCATTAGTGTGGTTAGTTTTGGTGGTTTTGGAAAACAAAGATCTCCAGGTATGTTGCGAATGAATTCAACGCAAAGCAATCGCATCAGCTAACTATGGTTTCTAGCACAATATAATTATACTGATGAACAAGTTTTTCACCAGTAAACTGATATCATCTTTTATTCTTTAACACTAATCGAAACCCGTCAACAGAAGAATGGAAACTCCGACGATTCAACGAACTGGTATATTGATATAGGTATAAAACTTGGGCACTGTGGTAGAATTTAATTCCATATTAGATTTGTTTATTTGATTTATAACACTGATCTAGTATTATTTACTTGATGACGTCTCGAGCATAAACTATTGCTCATAATCATATCACATTGATATGATTATGAGCAATCATTTATGCTCGAAACGTCATCAAGTAAGTAATACCAGATCACTGTGTTTAAATCAAACAAACAAATCTAATATGGAACTGGTATATTGTCCAATGTTAACCGATTATAAGCAATTACTATGCCTAAGCTTTTTAAAAACAAACACTTTAGGACTAGAATAAATATCACTGTTTTACAAATATTATTTGGACTAGCAACGGTGAGCTACAGTTCAGTGTTCACAAAATCCATGCTGTCTATCAATAACAGTTCTCTTAATGCAATGATAATAGTAGAAGGAATAGGCACTTACCTACATAAGACCAACTGATATGCAATAAGAGGGATTTCCTCAAAAATAATCCAACGAGATACTTCATTCGTTTCATTCAATTCACTGAGTACAGATTGGCTGAGTTCTGCTTTTTCATATTCATACTTGAGATAAACCGTCTTTTTGTCTTGACATTTACCCTATAAATAGATAAGGAAAAGCTCTGTAGTACTAATAAACAAGTATTTTCCCGTGAAGTTCAGCCTCAGTGACTGATATTATACTGGAAACATGGAAACGAGTGGATCATGTAGAAAAAATAGATTAAAAGACAACCATTTTTTGGCAAAGAAATGCCAGTCACCATAAAGGTACAGTAAGTTTGAACACATGACTAAGGGTTTAAGTAGGGCTGTGGCTCACTTCATTAGGCACTCATCATAAACCACTCGATCACCGTTGTAAACTCTAACCACTGATATCTAAGTAGCTCACTAGTGTAAACATTCCTCACACAATATATGTGGCTTTTTACCCAGTACACGAGCCTGCACATGGATGTTGAGCCACACATATTGTACTTAGTGGTTAAAAGTAGCACAACGTCACACAGGTTACCGTATACTGGGTTTCAGGAGGAAAGTAACAACCTCAACAAAAAACAAAATAGCACCAATAAAACACGTGTTTTACCTTTGGATTGCTAGTACTTTACCTAGCGGAATTTCACTTCCTTAACCTCCAATGTGCAGAAATACCTTATTTCATCACCTTATTTTGCTAGTATGTAACAATAATCTATCGAACGGTCAACAATGCAAGGACGATTTGTATTAAGATTTCTTTTCTACTGCGGACAAATAAATTGGCATATAACACAAAACACAAGGAAATAAAATAAACCCTTATAGTAAGAACTGTAGAAATGAAAAACTTGAAAAGTGAAATCCTTAAAAGCGATAGGTAAAACTATGAGACTATGAAACCGAATCCAGAAAGCATATGAAGACACAACAACTAACAACCACATTTAATCTAACAAATTAAGAATTGACTCGTTGGTCACTGAAGTTAAAAAGGTTTATGTTAATGAGATCTGTAAAGGGAATGCAATATACTACTAACAAACTAATTAGCGAACGAAAATTGTGTGGATACAAGATATAGACATCCGCTGAAGAGCTTATATGGAACGGGAAAATTACACCAAGTTGTTTTCAAACACAATACATTCAAATAGGACTTATTAGTGAACTATATTGAATACATTTGCATTTAGTCATATAAAACAAAGAGACTAACTGATAAATACCATGTGATCTTTACCTCAACACTTCGATTGACTTTCGTAACCATCCATACTGATTGTTCCATCCCAGAGGACTCTGTTAGAACTTTATCTAGACGCTTAAGCGCTTGCCACCACTTCCCCCAGTTATCTGCATACTTGTATAGAAGCAGATGGAACGGATCCTCTGGAGGGTTGAACTCATTGGAATTGGAGACTATTTCTAGTTCAAACTCAGATCCCTAGAACAGATATTGTAAATTAACCATAAGTATACTTTTAAGAAAATTTGTTCAATTTCGGTAATTCTATCAATAGAACGGTTGATATATAAATTTCTAAGATGTTCTGAGCTGAGAGGAGCAGGGAAGTTATCAAAAGCCAGTTTATCCTCTTCTTGCATGCTTTCAATTAAAATAGGTGCAGAAGCCTTAACTTCTTGTTTTTTTTCGTCAACAGCATGGAAATAGATATCGGAATCAACAGATTTTATTTGTTCCAGATGAGGTTTAGAGAAGTGATCATCCAATGAAGGATAGGTATAAGTCTGCTCTTTGGAACTGAATGACTGATCATCCAGATGAACGGCTTCTTGTTCATATCGAAAAGTAGCTTCAGGTTGAGAAACTGCAAGCTCAAAATTTTCAAACACTTCAGATTCCACTGGCAGAGGTTCATCAGGCACTTTAATAGATTCCAAACGAGCAATGATGTCGGCAGTCTAAGAATAAAATAAAGGATCAGATGATACCTTCAGTTTAGGCTTTCTAACCCTAACAGCTTCCATCTGACTTTCAAAGTAACGCACCCATCGAATAAACCGCGGGTCACCTGTTCCTCGAACTACAAACTCAAACCTTGTGTTGCAGAATAAGTGAACGACCCAACATCAATAGTGCGATTGGAAGAAACTTAGAGTTCTTTAGCTCTCGCTTTGGGTTTTGGGGCTAGATTTTTTTTGTTTGGTTGTACTTCATCGGTGGTCGCAGAATTCTTTGCTTTTCTTGCTAATAGCTTTATTGGTAGCCACTGTCTGTTTGAAGGTATTTTGTTCGCAAGTTGTAGCTTAGTTTGTTTTCGGGAGGGCAACGGAGCCCCTGATAAGATTAACTGACCTTTTTTCAATCCCTGTTTTTGTAGTCATCTGCAAGTGATTGTTAAGCGTTACTTAAAAAGTGCTTGAAATAAGGTGAGCGGGGAATGAGGTAAAGAAGAGTGAAAAGGATCTGTGGAAGAGTAAGTGTTACTGGTGATAATCTGGGGAAGAGGTGCATCCGATTGCAGATACTAGGGTTGGGGAATACAGGGATGGAAGAGCGTATCATCAGTTGCAACTGACAAATGTTTGTTGTGAGCCATCTACGCTCACGTATTCATCCAGCAGTCGTTTGAAGGAGTCGATCAATGTAGCTGTGGCTACTTCCCCTGGCAGGGGGTTTCATAAGGTACATACTGTGTGGGGGAAGTCAGATCTCATTCCCGTCTTTGTCCCGTGGTGAGGTAGGAGAGTGGAGTTCCCACGGGACTGACAGTTTTTGACAGATAACGCTGACCTACTTAAGTGGTCCACTTGGCGAACGATCTTGTAAGCTGTTATCAGGTTGCCTCTTTTCCCTCGATAGCTTGATGTAAACAAGTTGAGCTGTCCGAGGCGTTGTGTTTTTTTTGCTTGTTAGTCCGACAACCGAGCTTGTCGCTTTTCTCTGCACCTTTTCGAGAGAGTCCTGTTGTCATCACTGAAGGCCATCTTGATCATGTGGTTCTCCGATGTTTTGAGTTAAATTCTTTGTTCGTTCAGCGTTCAGGTCTCCAGGCAATTGGGTAAGTTTTCATCATAGTCCATTTTCTTCATAATCTAGTGATGTCTTCACATCGCAACTACCAGAAATTTAGGTGTAAAAAAGGAAAAAACATACATGGCCTCTGCACCTTTGTGGTTGGAAACTGTTTATATATTAAGGGGCCCTATTATGTCTGTAGTTTTGGAAGCAGTATTGACAGTACTTTTTGTACCACCGTCCTGTAATGTAGAGTTAGGCCGTCCTATAGACTTAGCTAAAGTGTTTGAGTCACGTGCTTCCCTGGGTAAACCGTTCCATATCACAGCATATTTTATGACAAAGAAGTTCCGCCTAGTGATTGTTTTGAATTGCCCAGTTGCCACTGTTTCAGTTGTGTTTCCTAATCCATATGCAGTTTTGTTTATGAATATACTGCCTCTTCGAACATATTTCTGACTTGTGTCTCGTTGTCAGTATTTAAACGGTAGGTAAGAGACTGATTAGGCAGGTACAACATCACATCGAGTTAGGCAGAGTTGGTCAAGCGTTAAGCAACGGTAACACAACCAGCCTTCTGCCCTACCAATAAGTGGGTGCTACCCGGCCTCCAGGGTAAAAAGAAATGTTGACGGCCATTTACGATAGATCTCTTGCGTAAGTAATCACGAAACGAGTCACGTGTTTCTCTTTCCATGACCCTCGCAACGGAAGAGAACAGAGAAATTAGCCCGTAGCCAGAGGTAGCCGGTTACTTTCCACTTTCAAATGTTTCCCAACAGAATAAATGAACCTTTCGCGCCTACAATCAGTGGGCTGCATATTCTTGTGTCTTGGGATCTAGGTTTATAAAAAAAGATTTAATAGACGGTGAAGGGTGGGATACCGGTGACTTCGTATGAAAGCTGACCCTGACCCTAAGGAGAAATCAGTTTGCGTTAGAAAGACTAGGCTTATTTAGTTGGAGTAGCATCTGCGTCGATAACGTCCCAGGACTTACTAAGCATTAGTAATAAGAATCACGCCTCATGTTCATTCTATTACGTCCAAGCGCTGTCCTCAAAATATTAGTATGAGATATGAGATTGAACAGATGAAGCTGGTAATCTGGAGTGTTTAAAATGCTTAGTATCACTATTAGATCTCCTGTAATCCAAGAGGTTTAGGTCCATTGAGTCAATAAACTACTTGTATGTTTCAAACTTTCGTCTGCGAACTAATTTAGTGCGGAGCCCCCAGAGAATATTTCCAACTGGTTGTTATCTTTTTGAAATGAAGGAGGAAAGCCACCGTTTGAAACCGTTAAAGACTCAGCGAAAACAACTAAAAAACGAAATTTTCTAAGGTGCCTCGCAGGGCAAAAAGTGCCGGATTGTCACGGCAAGCCATTTTTGTTACGGTTAGTGCAATCCCCAAGGTCATGGGGGACCAAACTTCAGAGATTCTTTCCTAACACGGATGAATTTAGCTCTGTATCGTTGAGTTCCAATCAAGGACACTCTTTGTTCCGCCAGCAAACCGCCCTCTATTTTTCAGAATCGCAATCTGCCCAGCACTGCGGTCGACAAAACTCTTTCAAAGTAAACCTACAGTTTCCATCTCCAATTTCTCCCCATGGCCTTGCACACTCACCAAAAAAGCTTTCGAAGACACTTGCAGAGTTAAACCGTTTACGTGTAGCACAAACGCGATAGACCGTACTGCCGCAGAAAGGCATCTCGCTTCTTTAATATGGTAGTGTAGCGGCAAATATTCCCTCGGATAAAATGGCATATAGTTCGGCGAGATACAACACTGATGTTCACCTTCATAGTCTTCAACAACTTACCAGGGCGAGGCTATATGGCCAAGCAGACGCACTGTTCGACATGCCGGGGTGTTACGTCAAGCTGCTCGCACGCAACGCATTCATGAGCTAGTTTGTAAGTGTCGGTAACTTGACATGGTCCATCAAATTCACTATTCCACCCGGTTACTCTGTTGTGTTGTTTCTTGGTCTCACGCTAGTGGGTATATTGCATGCACAAATAATTAGTGATCGGTTTCTGCGTCTGTCAAGCTCGCGTAAAATCATTTCATGAAGAGGAATTTCTCCAGACGTTGAAGGGGTGGCCACCTAGATTTGGCAGCAGCCAATCGATTAGTGACGAATCGGATTCCACTGATACAGGTTTGTTCATTAAAATGGCCGTTTCTGACGCAATGAAAGCCCTAGAACAATCAAGGCATGCAGGATCTACTCCTCTCTGAGGACCAACAGTGCTATTCTCCTAATGCTGTCTACCACGGTCAGGAAAATAATGATACATGAGCATCCTTCCATGTAACCACACTGGTGGATCGCGAGGCAGCCAATGGATATTATTCATCTGCCCAAACAGCTGTAGATTAGGAACTTAATAAATCTCAAGAGTGTCGATAGAAGAGTCTCAGACCACTAGTTCGTAGGGTCGCTTCATTTTTCATATTTGAAAATCAGTGTGGCATGACCTAACAACTGCGCACTAGTTAAGAGAATATACGGTCACTTCGTCCGAATCCTCATCCAGTAATGGGGCTCCTTTCTACAGGAAACTGGTATGGACTTTATCCAGGTTCATCGATACATAATTTTCGGCTTAAGATGTACCCAATTTATGCTGATATCCACGGTTACCAGCAATAGTGTTTCAAATGGGGTCCCCACAAGTACTTGCAGATACAGACGGAGGTCACAAAGCTTGTAACGAATGACCAACTTAAACATCTTCGACCTCACTACCAATATTAGTTAGTCTGCCGAGAACCAAAGGTGGGAAACTTCTTTCTTGGCCTGATGGAATAATGCTTTTCGGGTCTAACACGAGCGGACTGATGAGCTGAAATCGGTGCTGACTTTTTTCCCCCAGCGAGAACCCTCACACAAATATTTTTCGTTTGCTTGAAGTGGTTGTAGAATGGCTCACCGCCGTTTTTCTCGGCGGTCTTACCAGCTGAGCAAACCTCATCGTTCCGGATTTCAAGTCACTCGTTTTTCCAGGTTTCTGGACACAAATATTATTTCAAACCTGAACGTGACCTGCACTTCCACGGTATATTTGCTCTGGGAAATTGATTCTGGAGTTTTTCATGCTGTTGATAGCGTGGGCCTAATCGCAGTCGGGGGTTGACTACCTCTCTTTGGGTATGCAAGTACTTACTCCACGTTCGCGCTGGCAGTCACAGGTAAAGCCATCTCATCTCCCAAGTCACTGCTGGTTATGTGCAGTTTGCTGAAGACATCAGGGACAGTGTAGGGATTGATATACTCAACTCCCCCCATGTCACCAGACCAACTGTCTTTTTACCCCAGTCCACCAGTCTTTATGTTTCTTATTTTCCTCCAGTTGTCAGTGGTCTGACATTTCTGTCCACTATGGGCTTTCTGAAGCTTTTCCCTGTGTTTTTTCATCAGGCCGACAACTTTCTGATGGATTCTGAAAAGTGGATAACGCGTCCAATGTCACTTTTGACTTGTGATATGCATGGTCTGAAGTACCACTCGATTACAAGTTCACTGTTCTCGATATACCTTACTTGGGCCATTTATATCTGTGCACCATAGTACTAGCCTTAACAGCCATCAGCCTGTGCAGGAAATCGATATGTCTCTTCCTCTCTTGTTGGAATATTTCTCCCTTTGGCAATTATTAATGGAAGTATGGTTAGTAAAATAGAGCAGGTTTTTCAAAACTAATCGAAGATTGCGCACAAAACCAGAAAACCTATAAACGAAGCATAACTTTAGCCATTAAATTCGGACAAAGCTTACTGAAAATGACAGACAAGTTAAACATCAACCATAATGACCAAAGCGGTTGTTGCTCAGGATGCACATCGCTTTTTTGCGTTACCGTGGTGAAAAGATTTATAGATTAAGAGAAATAAAAATATGCTCCCCTTCAAAGAACGCCGGTTTTGAATCATCAGAAATAATAACCTTCGACCAGTGATATCTGATAATGCTTAAGAAAGGTGTTATTGTGTAGATCTAGCCTCTCTTTGGAAGTGTCGACAGGGGGCACA